AATTGTTGTTCTTATATATATATATATATATATATATATATATATATATATATATATATATTCATCTCTATGAAATCTTAAGGCGTGTTTATTTTACAAACTTTCATCTTATTTTGTTGGATTAAAACCGTATAGTTCTTTACGTGGAGAATTTATGAAAAAATATTTTTATGTTATGTTTAGCATAATTTAGTATTAAGGGTGGCATAATCCAGATAAGTGTATTATGAGATAAGAGTGACATAATCAGGATAAGTGTATCTCGGGATAAGGGTGGCATAATCCGGATAGGTGTATTTTGGGATAAAAGTAACATAAGCAGGAAAAATGTATTTATGCGATAAATGTGGTATAATCAGGAGAGGTGTATGTTAAGATAAGGGTGACAAACTCAACTGAATGTAAAAAATGGGTTTTAATCAAAGTTGACAATCTGTTTGTCGCATCTTTATGATGTGATGACCTGGAGTTGTCGTATCTGTGTGATGCAATGACTTGAGTTTATCGCATCCTATTGATGCAATGAGATATGTTTATCGCATTCTTGTGATGCGATGAGTATGTTTGTCGCATCCTTGTGATTCGACAAGGTTGACTTATCACATCCTATTGATGCGACAAGTTGGGCTTATTGCATCAAGGTGATGCGATGAGATGAGGTCATCGCATTAGTGTGTTGCAAGGAAATGGATTGTCTCACCCATGTAATGCGAGTAAATTATGATTTTACCTATATGATGCGATGAGTTATTTTGTTAATTGATGTGATAATTTGGAGATGTCTCATCTTAAAGATGCGACAAAAGATGTTTGTTTGTTAAAATGATGTTTATTTGTTATTTATACAAACGTGAGTTTATAAAAGTGTTTTGGTGATTATTCATTCTGTAATAGCAGACAAAAATATTTCTCACTAGACTTCAAGGTCTAACCCTCAATTGTATTTCAAAATTTGCATTACAGGTCAGACATAACTGGATGATAAGGGAAGGAAAAATTGTGAAGAATTTATAAATACTTGCATGAGATGTTGGGATAATGTGTTATCTTTTTGTATTTAAATACTTGTTATGTATACAAGTTTTGTATTAAAATTATATAGGAAAACTTGTTAGCTACTTTGTAACGTAGCTTTTGTAAATATTGAGACCAAATATGTAAAATTATATTTCTTAATATATAAAAATATAGGTTTATATGCGAATGTGATATTGGGATGTTACATGTCATTAACATCCCCTTTAATATTAAGGGGTGCTAGGGTGTTGAATGTTTTATAAATTAGAATCACTTTAATTTATATCAAATATCAAACCTAATCAATAATATATTATATATTATTATTATTATCGTTATATATATATATATATATATATATATATATATATATATATGCATTAGTATTAACATTTTACGCTCGTTCTTTAAATATTTTTAAAAATGTCATTTTGAAAGTATTTTTTATGAACATAATATAAATACAAGTTTCGATTAAATTTAAATTGTTTTCAGTAATTATAATATTATATTAGAAACCATACTAAAAATACAGTGACTTCAAAAATGTTATTATTTTTATTATAAGTAGTATTTCAAATTT